AACGTTACTTACCAAATAAATGAATAATTTGACACAAAATATTGATTTAAAAAGGAGTTTATTGATTTAAAAACGATTGTACTCCTTCCGCTAAAGAAAATAGTCCGTTCCGTCTCTGAACTGCGTCCATGGCAACGCTGTTTTTCATGGCAACGGTGTGTTATACTTAGCAGCTGTCTGTTTTCAAGAAATAACACACCGCATTCTACATTAGAATTCAACCAAGCCATGTAATAACAAGCTATAATAAGAAAACAACGACGCTATCAACACTGCTATGATGATGCAGATGCACGTAAATGCCTGTGGTGTGGGAACGACAGCGCTCCAAACAGTTCTGGGAGATCGTGGTTCAGAGACACCTCACGGAAACCCTTTGGTTGAAGCATTTTTGTGCTTTGTCCACTTACATCTGTCTTTGTTGACACCGGCCATGTGTGCGCAAAGCCGCAAACAGAGCGGAAATACTGGGCGGAAATGAACAAACATCTTCTTCTATGTTTTGTGGCGTGTTGCAACCATAAAAGGACCTAAAACTTAATCGCAATTCATTATTTATTCGGCAAATAACGTTTCCATCAGCGTTTATCGCATAAGCCGTATATCGATCAAGATAAAATCCGATGAGACCGAACGTATTTCATTTGAGTCGATATTCATGAAATTCAAGCGAATTTTACTGTTTCCATAAGGCATTTTTCATTCGATATCACTTAATTCGGATAAAAACGTGTCGATGGAAACATAGCTTGAGTAACAGAGCCAAATGCAAAAAGTGTTGCAACTGTCCCCGGTCTCCCCAAAGCGTTCATGCATTGAGTCTGTTCACTTTCCATCCACACGTTTTTATCCGCATTAAGTGATATCGAATAAAAAATGCCTTATGGAAACAGTAAAATTCGATTGAATTTCATGAATATCGCCTCAAATGAAATACGATCGGTCTCATCGGATTTTATCTTGATCGATATACGGCTTATGCAATAAACGCGGATGGAAACGTTATTATGGTGCGATCCATTTTGCCTAGTAAAACTTTGTTCGCAAATGTTGGTTTGAATGTTGAGCAATTCGGTGAGAAAATGATTGGAAACACCTTAACATGTCTCAAATCAATTCGATATCAATTTGATCGCAAAACAGCATGTGACGTCATTACGCACAGGTTTTTATCCGCTTTAAAGCCGTTTGATGGAAACACACTTTCACCAGCTTTATTCGCATGAGTTTTTTTTACCGAACTTCAGATAATTCGATTGACAAGTGGATGTAAACATGGCAGAGATGGCAGAGAGACTTGCGTCCAGTTTTCAGACATTATTCCTTTAAAAAACAAAAACCTTCTGAGGTTTCACAGCTGAAACACAGACTGAGGAGACAGAACTCACATCAGACTGAACGGCAGATCAAACCATCATCTGATGTCTGAGCTTTATGATGGTAAACTACGACTCTCGGCTGGAAAATCAATCATGTAAAAGATTCTTTACTGTTGATTCTCAGAGGCGCTTCACAATGGGTCGTCATTTATTGACTGCAACACATGTGGAAGAGGGATTTCGCCATTTGTTATTTGTATGTGTCCCTGGGGAGAGACGAACTCCTGCACCGCACATCACACACACACACACACACACACACACACACACACACGGGTCTCGGTCTCTTTAAAAGCTGCTGGGCAGAAAGCCAGAACACACACTCAACACTGGACCTCTGAGCTTTCAGCAGTTTCTCCGCGATTATCCTCAGCGCTCACGATGGAAGGCAATGTTAATGGTAAGTACAACTTAAAAGTACTATCTCTTTAGATAACAGTTCTTATGCGGGTTTTATGAAAGACCTTTTTAAGACCAAGTAAAGGAAACCTACGGAATAAATTAAAGGGACATCAACACATCACGTTCTCTAATGTACATGTCAAACACAATAAGAATACGACTTATAACACTCAAAAAAAAAAAAAAGTTGTTTCAACCCATGTTTGGACAAACCCAACCGCTGGGTTTAAAATTTAATTTAAAAAAATTAAACCAACGGTTGGGTTTGTGCATATTTGACCCAACATGGGTTGAAACAACTATTTTTACATGACTTTTAATGGAAGCTTGTTTCTGCCACGGAATAAAATAATTTAAAAGATTATTGCGACTTTTTCATCTCACATTTCTGAGTTTTTTCCCTCATAGCGAGTTATAAAGTCTGAATTGCAGAGTAAGAATAGAAAGTTTATTGAGTCAGAATTGAGTGATCTCGCAGGTTTGAGTTTTTATCACGCAATTCTCACTAACTGGCAAATAGCTTATGACTTAACTCGCGATTGTGACAATTATTTTCTCCGTGTGAGTTATAAAGTCCAATTCTAGGGGGGGCTGATTTTTCTTATCTCAGAATTGTGAGTTTATATCACTCATTTCAGAAAAAAACTCAGAATTGATTAAGAAGTTGCAATTACCTTTTGAATTTCTGTGGCGAAAACAAGCTTCCATAACTTTAATTCATTTTTGAAAGAAAAAAAAAACTTGCACACACTGAAGAAAATTTTTTTTTGTCTAAAGATTCTTAAATCAAGATGCATTTACTGATACAAAATGACATGAATATGAAGTGTAAAAGATTCTTCACTGCTGATTTGAGCTTCACAATGGGCCGTCAGTTAAAACACCTCGAGAGAACATCTAAAGTTTTATTATCACCAATGCCAGTCTGATGCCCGTATGCAATGATTGATGTTCTGGTGAGAATAAACTTTAGATGTTTCCTCGAAGTGTTTTAACTGGTGATAATAAAACTTTAGATGTTCTCTCGAGGTGCTTTAACTGACGGCCCATTGTGAAGCTCAAATCAGCAGTGAAGAATCTTTTACACTTCATATTCATGTCATTTTGTATCAGTAAATGCATCTTGATTTAAGAATCTTTAGACACATTTTTTTTTTTCCAGTGTTTGCAAGTTATTTATTTTTTTTTCAAAAATGAATTAAAGTTATGGAAGCTTGTTTCGATGCATCTTTTACATGATTGATTGTCCAGCCGAGAGTCGTAGTTTACCATCATAAAGCTCAGACATCAGATGATGGTTTGATCTGTCTGTGTTTCAGCTGTGAAACCTCAGAAACAGTCTCTGAATATGAGAGAGGTTTTAGTTTTTTAAGCTAAATACACTGAAGGAATAATGTCAGAAAACTGGACGCGAGTCTCTCTTCTCTCTGCCATCTCTGATGTTTCTCTGTTTCAGACTCAATGCATGAACACTTTCACTGGATCCTTGGACTAAAAACTTTCAGAGTTTAGCGGCTTTAAATGATCAGATTGCAAACCGATATATTGAATATCAAGTTCTTGCAAAGCATACGACATTTATTGCCATGACTTTGTGAATTTAAGACTTTCTGCACTGTTGAATCAGCCTAATTTGTGGAAGGGTGAATTAAGACATTCTTAAGAAACCCTTGGTGTAATTAGGCTACTTAACTAATTTAATTACCCTATTTATTTTCTTAATTTAACAGTTACTCCTGATGTAGGCTAAGTGCGTTATATAGCTATAGAACAATTAGGCTTTATGTATAGGCTAAAACTAGTGGATTTAACGTCTAACGCTAAAATGTATGTTTTAACGTGGCCTTCTTCCTTTTATTCAGTTCAAGAATAATTCATGCAACTCAACTGTGTGTTGTTTATTTGATGTAATTAAAAGTAATATTTGCGGCGGCCCTTGTATTGTTCAATTGCTTGCGATTTAGAAGCCTAAACGCGAACTTTCTAGAGAGAGTTTTTACACTTTTCAAGATGTTACAGCTAGTGATTAATTACTTTTTAGAGTAACTTACCCAACACTGAAAAGCGTTTAACAGATGTTTACATTTTTAACATGCTTAGACTGTGTCAATCTGTACATTTCTGGCATTATTTAGTAGACTGTGTACAGTTGAGACATGATTAGCCTACGGTTGAGACACCTTAAATAACTTGCGTACGGAGCATGAACAAGTTGTGATTTTTGCTGTGCACATGTGTATTAGTGTCCTCTTTGATCATGGGACATTTTAACAACGTAAATATATCAAGATATCACTTCACCATGCACACTCCACAATGAATAGCTTATTATCCTTATGTGACTGTTACACGTAACTGGTATCATCACAAACGTTATTCTGTGCCCTAAAAACTGGCATATTTCATGGTATTGTGTGTCATGCAAGATCATTGCAAAATCTAGAGAAATGTGTGAGGTGGCCATGGGGGTAAGTTGAGACACGTGTCTCAACTGTACCCCCGATAGATTTCTATTAGGAAACACACTGTTTAGTTCAGTGTTATGATGCAGGTTAAACGTCGTAATTAGCCAGCATAGGACGCAAATGAAAATAAAATTTGATATTTGTGATATTTAAACTGTGTATTATTAATAAATATATATTAAATATATTGTTCCTGTTTTATATATTTTAACCAGTGCTAATTGAAATAAAATGAATGCATTTAAATGGATGAAAAAATAAATATGTTGCCCAATTGTTTTTTTCTTTATTTGTCTTTATTTATTATATTTGCAATGAACGGTTCGTTACCTTTACATCATTAAAAATGGGTGTCTCAACTGGACCACACATGGGTACAGTTGAGACAAAAAACACCTTATTTTTATTGTGGAAAATATAAACTACTTATGGGTATTATTGATTGATAACATCTTAGTCTACAAGCTAATGAAATGTAATGTGGCATGTCATGTGGAAATTCACTTCTTTTCAGTATCTATTTTTGTGTGAAAAATCAAAACACAAAAAGTGTCTCAATTGTACTCAGTCTAAGTTGTAAATAAATATTTTTTTCTGAATATATTTTTTAGTTTTTAACTTTTTATTTGTAGTGACTGTGCCCTTGATTAACGGAGATGATAGCAGTAAATATAACTAAATGTTGTAATAGGCCACTCATATTGATTAGCATATGCTAAATTGCCATGTTTTTCTAGTTTTGCTGCCTGGTTTTATGAATCCGACTAAAGAAGACCCGGAAGACCGGGAAACTGCGAAGATTCAGAGGACAAGCGATAGTGATGAAGCTGATGAACCGATGAGGAAGAGGACAAGCGGTAGTGATGAAGCTGATGAACCGACGAGGAAGAGGACAAGCGATAGTGATGAAGCTGATGAACCGATGAGGAAGAGGACAAGCGGTAGTGATGAAGCTGATGAACCGACGAGGAAGAGGACAAGCGATAGTGATGAAGCTGATGAACCGACGAGGAAGAGGACAAGCGATAGTGATGAAGCTGATGAACCGATGAGGAAGAGGACAAGCGATAGTGATGAAGCTGATGAACCGATGAGGAAGAGGAGAAGCGATAGTGATGAAGCTGAAGAACCAATGAGGAAGAGGAGAAGCGATAGTGATGAAGCTGATGAACCGATGAGGAAGAGGAGAAGCGATAGTGATGAAGCTCATGAATCGATGAGGAAGAGGAGAAGCGGGAGTCACACCGATGCTTCTGTGAAGACTCCAGAGGAAGACACAACCGACGGTAAGATTATTAGACCTCGTCAAGCCTTTTATCACGATTTCTAGGGGGAAAAACACATAGGCTTACGTGAAAACCGCTTAACCTGAAAAACGCTTAACGGTTAAATGTAGGCTAGTAGCTATTAAAAGATGAAATTCTGAACACAACTTATTAATGGGTGTTTCTGCAACTACGGGCACTTTTGACTATCCCAATTTAAAAAAAAAATCAACCTCTTTGAATTTAAATTTTAACCATCACAGTCTGTAATACATATAAAAATCTACACAAAATAGAATGTAGTCGTTAAGATTTTAATCTGGAACATGTTTATTTTCTTTGTTTTTCAGGTCATCTTCTTAAAAAGTTTCCTTACCGCAACGTTACAATAACGTTCATTTTATAGATTTTTCTTCAGCAATTTCTATAATATATTTAAATAGCTTTTTCAAATTTTATGCAGTTTTGTAAATACTAATATACAAAAAAATATATACAAAATAGGGAATTTCATGTTTTTTCTATGCCATGTAAAACATTTACAGTAGCACATACAAGGAATTTGCTTTGGTAATAAAGTGTTACCGAGGCTGCTATAATCAGCGCCAACTTGAGAAAAAATACAGCATGACATGAGGAGAGGTGAGGAGAAAAGAAGGCAACCCCCAGACCATATGCTCCTTTAAGGAGAACAGTCTGGGAGCAAATAGTTTTTTCGTCTATATGATACGCAGTTTTCGCGTGCATATGATACGCACTTTATGGCGTGTAATACGCACGCACTCCACACCCCCCTCCCCCCTAATCCTAAGGGGTTTTCAGTGCGTGGCATATGTACGCAAAAACAAGGGCGTAGGTTTAGGGGGGGACGCTAGGTACTAGTCCCAATCAATATTTTGAGATGACAAATTTGTCCCCACCAATATTTAGCAAGCTAATTTGAACTGCTATTTTGATATTTGCGCTGCTATTTGGATCGATTCCAACGGCCAGGACAACGACAGTACAAGATACGCCGTAATTTGATTGGCGGCGGGGTATCTGACAGGCAGGCTACACGCGCGGGCCGGGACTACTTTTTGTGCTTGCACTCACTGGCAGCGAGCGGGTGGTGTGTGTGTGTGTGTGTGCGCGCGCGCGCGTGACGACGCCGACGGTAAGTTCCCAGGGCTGTCTCTCTGCATGCACATATCCATGCATATACAAAGGCCAGGGTAAAACATTTTAATATTCCGTTTTTTGCCCCTTTTTGTACTTTGTAGTAGATCAGCTATATGTCACCCAAGAAGAAGAAAGGGGACATACGAAGCTTTTTCATAAAGCAGAGTGTAAGTAGGCAAAAATAACTAGCCACACAAATAACTAGCAGTAGTAGTGACTGACCAGGCTTTCAAATGCAGATTCTACTGTGGAAAATAGTATTAACTGGTGATCCTGGTTACCCAGGATATTGTTACAGTTAAACCTAGCTTTTGCAATTTTTCAAGGTTAGGAGCATTAATTAGGGGTGTGCAGCACGGATAGACTCATAGAAGTCGCGCTATCATGATAGACGTTAGCAAGTCACTGAATGTTAATTAGCCTACCTTAACTTAGAATCTTGCAGTCATAAACAGTGGATCATCTGAGACATTTTTCGTTTCTACATTCTGTTTATTTATTGTATTTGTGAGTGTAGCCTACTTGCTAGACACATGTCTGGAAAAACATATTGGCAATGTTAAAAAGGCAAAAGTAAACACTGTTGGTTATTCAAATATAATGATTCATTATTTGTTTGATAATATCCAAATAACAATATCTGGTAGGAGGGTTAAACTTGCTTTTTTTTTAAGGATAGAATATATCAATAGAATTTGATATAGAATAGAAGATAGATACATAATAATTTATGTTAAATAAAAGAGGAGGTCAGATGGGATGTCCCCACCAAAGCTGAGACCAAACCTACGCCCATGCGCAAAAAACATTTTTGGCGTATAAATGGCTCGAGAAATGACATTCGTGGTATAGATACGCACTTTCATGAGACTGTGTCAGTATGGCAAGCCGTTTAAACTTTTATTCATTTCCAGGATATGAATACTTGATATCAACAATTCAATTTTCACTAGTTAAAATTATAATTATTGATATCAGGAATAATATTTCTACTAGTAACAATGGCAATTTTTGATATCAGGAATTACATTTTCACTAGTAACAATGCTTATTCTTGACATCAACATTTACATTTTCACTAGTAAAAATGATAATTCTTGATATCTGTAATTGTATTTTCACTAGTGAAATGTCACCATAGGCTGCCATTCAAAATCAATTCTTGATATCAAGAATTGATTTCTTACTAGTTGAAATTCCAATTTCACATATCAGAAATACAATTCTTACTAGTAAAAACCTTTATTTTTGATATCAAGAATTAAATTGTCACTAGTTGAAATGTCTATTCTTGATATCAACAATTGAATTGCTACTAGTAACAATGTTCATTTTTTATATCAATAAATTTTCACTAGTGACAATGTTAATTTCTGATATCATGAATGTGATTGTTACTAGTAAGAAAGCCATTTTAGATATCTGAAATAATATTGATATCAGAAATACATTTTCAGATATCAAAAATGAAAAATTTTACTAGAAGCAATTCAGTTGTTGATATCAAGAATAGACATTTAGACTAGTGACAATTTAATTATTGATATCAGGAATTCGCATTTTTACTAGTAACAATGCAATTATTGATATCAAAAATTATATTTCTACTAGTAAGAAATCAATTCTTGATATCAACAATTGATTTTGAATGGCAGCCTATGGTGACATTTCACTAGTGAAAATACAATTGTTGATATCAAGAATTACATTTTTGATATCAATAATTCAATTGTTGATATCAAAAATGTAATTGTTGATATCAAAAAATGTAATTGTTGATATCAAAAATGTAATTGTTGATATCAACAATTCATATCCTGGAAATGAATAAAAGTTAAAACGGCTTGCCATACCTGCAGCCATTATGGCGCTGGTCACAGACCCGCCTGTCAGACTGGGGGTACGAAGCGGAGAAGGCGTGGGATGGGGTGTGGGGCAGGTGCATATCTGTGTATGTGTAAGTTCATGTGTGTGTAGGCCTGGAGAGAGTCGCTAAGCCAGCACCATAATCTAGGAGCCTCAGATATAAAAATCATTATCCAAACTTAAATGGTTGTAATTCAAGAATGCTTTGGAATATAGACCCATGGTTGGTCTTGTTTTTTTCCAGACATTTTCCAGATTATTGTAGAAGTGTAGAAATTATTAAAAATGAAACAGAAAAAAAGTTATATAAGTTTAAGTTTATGAAATTATTTAATGTAAAAATATAATTATTAATATTTTATATAATATATATATATATTACAAAACATATTTTACTCTAAAACTGCAAGAAAATTAAAGCCAAAAATCTGAACAAGTTGTGTTCCAAATTTTAGGTTGATATCTCAAAAATTGAGCTTTCAGTAAGATTTTATTTGGGCGCAGTACCAGACTTTTCCACGAGGTGAACACCAGACTCCATTACTGCCCATATAAGGCCGCCTCCATTTTCATATATGTTTTGAGTGATCTGAACCATGTATTTCCATAATTTTCATACAATTTATGAAGTAGACATCCTATTCAGAAGTAGTATGGGAGGTTTGGCAGTATTTGATTTGAATTCAACCTCTAATAAATGCATAAAAAGAGCACATATGTGCGTTATAGCTCACAGCCGCATCACAAATCAAGAATCCATACATTTTTCTTTATATTTAAAACATTTTCAGACCTTTTTTTCTCATAAAATGGAATTGGTGTTATCTTTTGAACTCTTGGCATGAAAACAAACTGAGGTTTCTACCAATCTTTCATAATTTTTCATGTTTATTGCTATTTCAAAATAAAGGCCTAAACACGCCTAATGAATATGAAATATTCTTGTTGCAAATTGATAAATTACTGCTCTTCTGTGATTTATTTTAAAAAAACAGACACCAAATATGAAAACTAGAGATTTTAAGCTTTCAAATGTTATATATTTTGTCAATATTACTTTAGGTTTTTACTAAGATATTATTGTTTTAAATATATAGTGGCAAACGTCCCACCTGTGGGTCGGTGACACTTAAGGGAAGTGCCCGTAGTTGCAGAAACACCCTAATATTTGTGAATTCACACATGGTTTGTCTTAAAGTATATTAAAAACACCACATAGACACATAAACAACATTAAAAACTTGTTGTTACCGGTTACCTTTGACCTTGAGTTCTGCTAACTCTTCTTCTTCTTCACAGACCGGTGTGCTGAGAGTGTGTGTGAAGCGTCGTCTTCATCTGGGATCAGCGATGGAGTCGAGGAGTGTGTGAGAGACACAACATCAGCAGGAGAATCTCAGTCTGAGGATCACAGGGACGAGCAGAACTGTAAACGGCTTCGTGAAGTCCTTAGAAGTCTGGACGGAATTAGAAGAGCGCACAAAATACGTTCGCGTGTCCTTATGTCGATGCTTGAAGAAACACGAGTAATCTGGCATCAGCGTTTGATGGGCATCAGGAAAATAAAAGGTATTTAGATGCACCAGTATAATGATGATTCACCGTTTTAGTTTTCTTCATTTAATTACGGTTTCTCCTGATAATTGCGTTATAGAATACAGAACAATTCTATGCAAAACTAGTGGATTTAACGTCTAAATGCTAAAATATATGTTTTAATGTGACCTTCCTTTTGGTCAGTTCAAGAATAATTCGTGCAACTGTAGGCTATATTGTTTATTTAATAGAATTAAAAATAGAAATGCTGTCGTTGAATTTCTTGCGATTTCGAAAGTAATTAGTAACGTGTTACTTTTTAGAGAGAGTATTTACACAGTTCAAGATGTATTAGTAGCTATAGTAATGAATTACTTTTTGCAGAAACTTACACAACACTGAATATAAAGTGTTTACCAAATGTTTTAATTTTTTAACAGCCTCAAGAAACGGTCGATGGATGGACTGGAACGACATAGACAGAGTCTTTCAATTATGTAAGACCGTGTCTGCACATTTTCTGGCATTTATATGCTTATATTTTTAATTATTAACTGAATGTGTCATATTTTTTATTTGTAGTGAATGTGCCCTTGATTAATGCAGACAGAGCCGATGGCGGTAAATATAATCTTCTGTTATAGACACTCGTATTGCTAAATCTAAATTGTCCTAAATCTAACTATTGTCATCTATGTCTAGCTTTGCAGCCAGCAGGAAAGAAAGCAGAAGAAGAGAAAGCAGGAGAAGGAAAAGCAGGAGAAGGAAAAGCAGGAGAAGGAAAAGAAAAAGCAGGAGAAGGAAAAGAAAAAGCAGAAGAAGGAAAAGAAAAAGCAGGAGAAGGAAAAGAAAAAGCAGGAGAAGGAAAAGAAAAAGCAGGAGAAGGAAAAGAAAAAGCAGGAGAAGGAAAAGAAAAAGCAGGAGAAGGAAAAGAAAAAGCAGAAGAAGGAAAAGAAAAAGCAGAAGAAGGAAAAGAAAAAGCAGGAAAAGAAAAAGCAGGAGAAGGAAAAGAAAAAGCAGGAGAAGGAAAAGAAAAAGCAGGAGAAGGAAAAGAAAAAGCAGGAGAAGGAAAAGAAAAAGCAGGAGAAGGAAAAGCAGAAGAAGGAAAAGCAGAAGAAGGAAAAGCAGAAGGAAAAGCAGGAGGAGGAAAAGGAAAAGCAGGAGAAGGAAAAGCAGAAGAAGGAAAAGCAGAAGGAAAAGCAGGAGGAGGAAAAGCAGGAGGAGGAAAAGCAGAAGAAGGAAAAGCAGGAGGAGGAAAAGCAGGAGGAGGAAAAGCAGAAGAAGGAAAAGCAGAAGGAAAAGCAGGAGGAGGAAAAGCAGGAGGAGGAAAAGCAGAAGAAGGAAAAGCAGGAGGAGGAAAAGCAGAAGAAGGAAAAGCAGGAGGAGGAAAAGCAGGAGAAGGAAAAGCAGAAGAAGGAAAAGCAGAAGAAGGAAAAGCAGGAGGAGGAAAAGCAGAAGGAAAAGCAGAAGGAAAAGGAAAAGCAGGAGGAGGAAAAGCAGGAGGAGGAAAAGCAGAAGAAGGAAAAGCAGAAGAAGGAAAAGCAGGAGGAGGAAAAGCAGGAGGAGGAAAAGCAGGAGGAGGAAAAGCAGAAGAAGGAAAAGCAGGAGGAGGAAAAGCAGGAGGAGGAAAAGCAGGAGAAGGAAAAGCAGAAGGAAAAGGAAAAGCAGGAGGAGGAAAAGCAGAAGAAGGAAAAGCAGAAGGAAAAGCAGAAGGAAAAGGAAAAGCAGGAGGAGGAAAAGCAGAAGAAGGAAAAGCAGAAGAAGGAAAAGCAGGAGGAGGAAAAGCAGGAGGAGGAAAAGCAGGAGGAGGAAAAGCAGAAGAAGGAAAAGCAGGAGAAGGAAAAGCAGGAGGAGGAAAAGCAGGAGAAGGAAAAGCAGGAGGAGGAAAAGCAGAAGAAGGAAAAGCAGGAGGAGGAAAAGCAGGAGAAGGAAAAGCAGGAGGAGGAAAAGCAGAAGAAGGAAAAGCAGGAGGAGGAAAAGCAGGAGAAGGAAAAGCAGGAGGAGGAAAAGCAGAAGAAGGAAAAGCAGGAGGAGGAAAAGCAGGAGGAGGAAAAGCAGGAGGAGGAAAAGCAGGAGAAGGAAAAGCAGGAGGAGGAAAAGCAGAAGAAGGAAAAGCAGAAGGAAAAGCAGAAGGAAAAGGAAAAGCAGGAGGAGGAAAAGCAGAAGAAGGAAAAGCAGGAGGAGGAAAAGCAGGAGGAGGAAAAGCAGAAGAAGGAAAATCAGAAGAAGGAAAAGCAGGAGAAGGAAAAGCAGAAGAAGGAAAAGCAGAAGAAGGAAAAGCAGAAGAAGGAAAAGCAGGAGGAGGAAAAGCAGGAGGAGGAAAAGCAGGAGGAGGAAAAGCAGGAGGAGGAAAAGCAGGAGGAGGAAAAGCAGGAGGAGGGAAAGCATATCAGTCTGAGGAATACAGGAACTTAAAGAAAGAGCTCTATCGAATGGTTCAGAGATTTTGCGCTCAGATTGGCGACAGGAGCCATCATGAGAAGCGGTGTGAAATAGAAGCAATCATGTGTGAGATTGTGAAGGAGACCAGAGACATAAAACCAACTCCAGATGCACTAGTAGGATGAGAAAGACACTTTTTATTCACCATTTTAAGAAGAAATATGCTTTGAAATACTTTAAAACTCCACCCTGCAATAACTGTAATAATACTGAGCTCATTGTTTCTGCCTAAAATGAACACAATATTCGCTAACTGTGAGATCTGTGTGTGTGCGTGTGTGTGTGTGTGTGTGTGTGTACTTGAACACAGTCTGATAACAGTCACTCTGAATTGTAACACAGACAGACTTGTGTACTTTGTGTGAAACTTTGTGTATTGTGACAAGCTAGAAATAAATGTGAATTGAATTGCTGTGACTCATTATTTCATCACTTACATAAACACTTTGAGATTTTGTGTTTTAACTTTAATCTAATGGCATTTTCTGAAAATCATTCATTCACACTAAACGGACATTGTTGTGTAACAAACTCTTTTCCTGCTCTCGGAAAATGTAAGATGTTTTAATGTTGTTTTGTAATAAAAAACAGTGTGTGTGTGTGTGTGTGGGGGGGGGGGGGGGGGGTATGAAAGGATTTATTTTCTTGAGCTTTGTTTAAAACTGTTGTCACTGTTTTTGTGATTCAGCTCAAACTTATATGGTTTAAATGAGTGATATGCTAACTTTAAGCTATATGATTAGCATGTATCAAGGTCAATTGTTCAGCTATGAGGTTTTATCATGGCTGACAGGAACGGGGACAGTTGCAACAACTGTGATAATATAAATGATAATAAAAAAAATCTAGTTAAAAAAAATGTTTTATATGAAAATAGGCTAAATAAAAGTTAAATGCCTCACAGATTGTTCCATTATTCCTATGTCACTAAAAGCCTAATGTATGTTATATCAATTTGAATATTTGACATCCGCACATAAGGCCTACTACTCATCTAGACAAATCTATAATTGCCATTAATCAAAGCTGAGGAATAAATAACTCTGCAATATTATTATACCTTATATTTTTGATAATAATCATTTTGCTAAAACTGACATATATTGTTGTAACATGTTGCAACTGTTCCCGGGCAACATCTGACTCCTTACATTGAAATGCAAATTGTGAAAAATGTAGATTCTGTAATTATCTTTAAATGGTTTCGACTATTAACATGCAGATGTAAGTTTATTGTATAAACAATTGGTTTGTTTAATCCAAACCGTCTTTGAGTAACAGAGCCAAATGCAAAAAGTGTTGCAACTGTCCCCGGTCTCCCAAAGCGTTCATGCATTGAGTCTGAAACACAGAAACATGGCAGAGATGGCAGAGAGACTTGCGTCCAGTTTTCAGACATTATTCCTTTAAAAAACAAAAACCTTCTGATGTTTCACAGCTGAAACACAGACTGAGGAGACAGAACTCACATCAGACTGAACGGCAGATCAAACCATCATCTGATGTCTGAGGTTTATGATGTAAACTACGACTCTCGGCTGGAAAATCAATCATGTAAAAGATTCTTTACTGTTGATTCTCAGAGGCGCTTCACAATGGGTCGTCAGTTAAAACACCTCGAGAGAACATCTAAAGTTTTATTATCACCAGTTAAAACACTTCGAGGAAACATCTAAAGTTTATTCTCACTAGAACATCAATCATTGCATATATGTGCATCAGACTGGCACTGGTGAGAATAAAACTTTAGATGTTCTCTCGAGGTGCTTTAACTGACGGCCCATTGTGAAGCTCAAATCAGCAGTGAAGAATCTTTTACACTTCATATTCATGTCATTTTGTATCTGCAGTAAATGCATCTTGATTTAAGAATCTTTAGACTTTTTCACTGAGGAAGAGCATTTTTTTTTTTTGTGCTGTGTATAAAGAAGGTACAGTAAAGGTTATTTCCATATTCTAGTGGTTGGGAGCGTATTCAAGTTATGCCTATTTTTTTATACATTAAAAAGTTATGGAAGCTTGTTCTCGCCACAAAAAAAATAATAATAAAATAATCTCACAATTCTGACTTTTTCTTAATTGCGTGATATAGACTTACAATTCTGAGAGAAAAAAATAAGTACTTTTTCCCTCACAATTGGACTTTATAACTCACACTTGCAGGACAAAAGGTCAGAATTGCGAGTTATAAAATCAGAATTGCGAGTTATAAAGTCAGAATTGCGAGTTATAAAGTCTGAATTGTGAGTTATAAAGTCTGAATTGTGAGTTATAAAGTCAGAATTGTGAGTTATAAAGTCCGAATTGCGAGTTATAAAGTCCGAATTGCAAGTTATAGAGTCTGAATTGTGAGTTATAAAGTCAGAATTGCGAGTTATAAAGTCCGAATTGTGAGTTATAGAATCAGAATTGCGAGTTATAAAGTCCGAATTGTGAGAATCAGAATTGCGAGTTATAAAGTCCGAATTGTGAGTTATAGAATCAGAATTGCGAGTTAAAGAGTCAGAATTGCGAGTTATAGAGTCAGAATTGTGATTTATAAAGTCAGAATTGTGAGTTATAAAATTAGAATTGCGAGTTATAGAGTCTGAATTGTGAGTTATAAAGTCCGAATTGTGAGTTATAAAGTCCGAATTGCGAGTTATAAAATCAGAATTGTGAGTTATAAAGTCCAAATTGCGAGTTATAAAGTCAGAATTGCGAGTTAAAGAGTCAGAATTGCGAGTTATAGAGTCTGAATTGTGAGTTATAAAGTCCGAATTGTGAGTTATAAAATCAGAATTGCGAGTTAAAGAGTCAGAATTGTGAGTTATAAAGTCCGAATTGCGAGTTATAAAATTAGAATTGCGAGTTATAAAGTCCGAATTGTGAGTTATAAAGTCCGAATTGCGAGTTAAAGAGTCAGAATTGCGAGTTATAAAGTCCGAATTGTGAGTTATAAAGTCCGAATTGCGAGTTAAAGAGTCAGAATTGCGAGTTAAAGAGTCAGAATTGCGAGTTATAAAGTCAGAATTGCGAATTATAAAGTCAGAATTGCGAGTTATAAAGTCAGAATTGTGATTTATAGTCAGAATTGTGAGTTATATAGTCAGAATTGTGATTTATATAGTCAGAATTGTGAGTTATAAAGTCAGAATTGCGAGTTATAAAGTCAGAATTGCGAGTTATAAAGTCCGAATTGTGAGTTATAAAGTCCGAATTGCGAGTTATAGAATCAGAATTGCGAGTTAAAGAGTCAGAATTGCGAGTTATAGAGTCAGAATTGTGAGTTATAAAGTCAGAATTGCGAGTTATAAAGTCCGAATTGTGAGTTAAAGAGTCAGAATTGCGAGTTATAAAGTCCGAATTGCGAGTTATAGAATCAGAATTGCGAGTTATAAACTCCGAATTGTGAGTTAAAAAGTCAGAATTGTGAGTTATAAAGTCCGAATTGCGAGTTATAGAATCAGAATTGCGAGTTATAAAGTCCGAATTGTGAGTTAAAGAGTCAGAATTGCGAGTTATAAAGTCCGAATTGCGAGTTAAAGAGTCAGAATTGCGAGTTATAAAGTCCGAATTGTGAGTTAAAGAGTCAGAATTGCGAGTTATAAAGTCCGAATTGCGAGTTATAGAATCAGAATTGCGAGTTATAAAGTCTGAATTGCGAGTTATAAAGTCAGAATTGTGAGTTATAAAGTCAGAATTGTGAGTTATAAAGTCCGAATTGCGAGTTATAAAGTCCGAATTGCAAGTTATAGAGTCTGAATTGTGAGTTATAAAGTCAGAATTGCGAGTTATAAAGTCCGAATTGCGAGTTAAAGAATCAGAATTGCGAGTTATGTCCGAATTGCGAGTTATAGAATCAGAATTGCGAGTTATAAAGTCTGAATTGTGAGTTATAAAGTCCGAATTGCGAGTTATTAAGTCCGAATTGCAAGTTATAGAGTCTGAATTGTGAGTTATAAAGTCAGAATTGCGAGTTATAAAGTCCGAATTGTGAGTTATAGAATCAGAATTGCGAGTTATAAAATCCGAATTGTGAGTTATAGAATCAGAATTGCGAGTTAAAGAGTCAGAATTGAGAGTTATAGAGTCAGATTTGTGATTTATAAAGTCAGAATTGTGAGTTATAAAATTAGAATTGCGAGTTATAGAGTCTGAATTGTGAGTTATAAAGTCCGAATTGTGAGTTATAGTCCGAATTGCGAGTTATAAAGTCCGAATTGCAAGTTATAGAGTCTGAATTGTGAGTTATAAAGTCAGAATTGCGAGTTATAAAGTCCGAATTGTGAGTTATAAAGTCCGAATTGCAAGTTATAGAGTCTGAATTGTGAGTTATAAAGTCAGAATTGCGAGTTATAAAGTCAGAATTGCGAGTTATAAAATTAGAATTGCGAGTTATAAAGTCCGAATTGTGAGTTATAGAATCAGAATTGCGAGTTATAAAGTCCGAATTGTGAGTTATAAAATCAGAATTGCGAGTTAAAGAGTCAGAATTGCCAGTTATAGAGTCAGAATTGTGAGTTATAAAATTAGAATTGCGAGTTATAAAGTCCGAATTGCGAGTTATAAAGTCTGAATTGCGAGTTAAAGAGTCAGAATTGCGAGTTATAGAGTCTGAATTGTGAGTTATAAAGTCCGAATTGTGAGTTATAAAATCAGAATTGCGAGTTAAAGAGTCAGAATTGTGAGTTATAAAGTCCGAATTGCGAGTTATAAAATTAGAATTGCCAGTTATAGAGTCTGAATTGCGAGTTATAAAGTCCGAATTGCGAGTTATAAATTTAGAATTGCGAGTTATAAAGTCCGAATTGTGAGTTATAAAGTCCGAATTGCGAGTTATAAAATTAGAATTGCGAGTTATAAAGTCCGAATTGTGAGTTATAAAGTCAGAATTGCGAGTTAAAGAGTCAGAATTGCGAGTTATAAAGTCAGAATTGCGAGTTATAAAGTCAGAATTGTGATTTATATAGTCAGAATTGTGAGTTATAAAG